GCCGGCCCCTCCCAGCGCACCCCAGCCTCTGCCCGCGGCCGCCTCTGCGCCGGTGTCTTTTGCGTTCGAGTCCTGAGAGAACCGAGCCCGCTGCTGAGTGCACAGCCGCGCCTGGGTGTGGTGTGCGAGCTAAACACCTTCGAATGCGGGCGGCTTTGGACAGAGGTTGTGCGAGGGTGCTTTTATCAAGTATGCAAGGGCGCACGACACACGTAGGTGTGCGTCGCACGATCACGCCTCTCCGTGCTCACACGTAGTTGTGTGCGTGCGTGTGTCCCGGGCACGGAGGTTTGGGTGTGTGCACGTGGATGTCGTCTGCACAGAGGGAGTTTTCACGCGCACGTCTACCTGCGTTCACGTGTGTACGTGAGTGTGGCACCGTGTGTCTGTGCATGCGTGCCGGTGTCTCTGTGCGTGTGCGTGTTGCACGGTGTGCGTACCTGTGCATGTGTGAACATGTGAGCGCACTTGCTTGTGTGTGGGTGTGCAGGACACAGGTGTGTGTGCCTTCGAGTGTGCGGAGGTGTGCACGTGTGATGCGTTACAATGCAGCGTCGTGTGCGTGCGTGGCTGGACATGCATGTGCCACGTGTGTGCTTGCACTTTGCAGGTGCGTGGCGGGTGCACAGCGCACAGGTGCGTGTGCCCGTGTGAGCGCGCGTGGGTGTGGACATCGAGTGGGGGCGCACGCACCGCGCACGCATGAGCGGGCTGCCTCCGTGTCGCACACGTCTGTGCACGCATGAGCCCCTGCTTCCTCGGGTTATTGGGCACCGCGCTCGCTCCGCGCCCTGGGCCCAGGCTGACGGCACCCAGTGGCCCACGGACCTCCAGGAGCGGGGAGGGCTGGACTCAGAGGTGTCCTTTGTCCCGCACAGGTGGAGCGGAGACGTCCTCTTACGACAGCCCGCAAGGTGAGTGTGAGTGGCTGAGCTGCCCTCCCTGCCGGGCTCCATCACCGGCCTCCCGCCTCGGGGCAGCGGGGCTGTGCCGAGGCCTCCAGAGCGCCGGCGGAGGAGAGAAAGCCCTGGTGTTCAGGCCGGGAAGAGCTTGCGGGTTCGGAGTTCAGATTCACTGCAAGGGCCGGTGCGTTCCCTGTCCGGTACCGAGCTGGTGCTCTGCCTTTGAGGAAGCTCAGGAAAGACGTTTTCGAGTCTCAATTTCCTGAGCCATCTGGGGAAGCGGCCTTCTTGGTCACAGACCCAGGGGCTGGGCTTTTGCAAGTAGCCCAGGGCGGAGGTGGAAAATGTCACACACACACACACACACACACACACACACTGTGTCATTTTACACCAGAGGCTTTAGCAGCCCTGAGAGCCATCTGCAAAGGCGCAAATAAGCCAAATTCAGTAAAACGACTGACAAGGTACCGTGTCTTTTCTAGGCAAACTTTACATTAAGCTATTTGCAGAAGTCTGTTTCAAAAGCGCAAGGTCCTGAGTTGGATCCCTGGTACAAAAAAAAAAAAAAAAAAAAAAAAAAAAAAAAAAAAAAAAAAAGTCCATCTCTATTCCAAGGTGTCTTGTTGGATTGGTATTTTGTTTGTTTGTTTTCTGAGGCAGGGTCTGTCTTTGTAGTTCAGGCCAGCCTTGAACGCACAGCGATCCTCCTGCCTCAGCCTCTCTAGTGCTGGGATGACAGGCTTGCGCCACCACGCCCCCCACCTAGATGTGTGTGTGTGTTTTTTTTCTCTTGGTACCAGGATTTGAACTCAGGTTTTTGCGCTTGTGAGGCAGGTGGCAGCACCGCTGAGCTAAATCCCCACCCTGGACTTGTATGTTTTCAGTGTTTGCCAGGGACAGTGCCTTGGGGTTATGTAACGTAAATGCTGTTCCTGCCTTTATTTTCCGGTTCCCCTGCCCCTGCCCTGCCTTCCCTGACTCCCACAGGCAACACCATAGCCCGGATTGTGTCCCCCATCGTGTCCGTGGTCGTGGTGGCCCTGGTGGGAGCCGGAGTGAGCTTCTTCAAGTCCAACCGGAGGGGAAACTGCCTACGGGCCAGCGGTGAGTTCCCCGGATTCTCCCACACCGTGGTTTCATCCGGCAAACAGAAATCTTTCTGCTATCTTTCTACCAGCAGTGCTGCCCCTGCCACACCCAATGTAAAGACTTCACATAATGGAATGACTTTAAATTGGGATATTTTTTGGGGGGTAGCCAGTTTCACTATGTAGTTCAAGCTGGCCTTGAACTCACAGAGATTCTCCTGCCTCAGCCTCGGATGTGCTGGGATGACAGGTGTGTGCCACCATGCCTGGCTTAAAGTGGAATTTTCTTTTTCTTCCTTTTCCTTTTTGTGCCAGTGAGCTAAATCCCTGGCCCTTTAAGTGGGATTTTCACATGAACACACACACACACACACACACACACACACACACACACACACACCTTTTTCCTCAGTACCACGGATTGAACTCAGGACCTTGCAGTTGCCAGGCAGGCACAGTGCCACTGAGCTAAATCCCCGGCCCTATACATAACATTTTAAAACTTTTCTTTTTAGTCTACAAACTTACATAGGTCTACTCCTCCATAGCTACAACTCCCGCTTTTATAGGGTTTTACAGCCTTGATCTCAGCCGGGTGGTTAAACTGCAGTTTCACAGTTCACATAGCTGATGTTCAAAGCATGCTGGGAGGCAGTTGAATTTCATCCCAGGTGTAGCACTTCTCCGGTCAGGGAGGTGACCTTTAAAATTCATCAGTTATCTCCTCTAGCCCAGGGGAAGGGGGCGTATCTGCTCAGCAAAGCTAACAATGGTTCTTTTCGTTTACAAAACTTTGGCGGGAGACCAGATGCCCCCAGTGCTGGTTAATTCTGAACTAAACGGGGCGAAGGGCACAAGTTGTCTTACAGGATGACATTCGTAGAGGTTTTGCTATTAAAGCTTTCCCGGCCGGGCGTGATGGTGCACGCCTGTAACCCTAACACTCGGGAGGCTGAGGCAGGAGGATCGCTGAGTTCGAGACCAACCCGGGCTGCACAGTGAGTTCCAGGTCAGCGCCAACTACATAGTGAGACCCTGTCTCAAAGCAAAGCTTTGCCCATCACTGAGAGCACTAGAGAAGAGCCGGGGTGCTTTATCCACATTGGGTTCTCATCTCAGGAGCACCCACTTCCCCACGTGTCCCGGGTGGGTTTCCCCGGGGTCCGCGGTGCGGAACTGCTTCCTGTAGGTAAAGGGCTTTCAGTGCGGCTTGTTCAGGGGCTCAGCATTAGAAGGTGGCCCGCGGGCTCCACCTGCTGGTGCCTGGGTGCTACTGACTTCCTAGTGTGGGGTGGACCTCACGTGACAGAAACGGTGCCGGATTGAGTTTCCCGGGCCCGATTTATGTCACCGGTTCCAAGACCCATGCACCTGCCTAGGAGTGGTCCGAACTCTTCCTTCTTTGTGGCTGAGTAGTACTCCGCTGTGTATGGAAACACCATGTTTTGTTTTTTTTGAGACAGGGTCTCTGTGTAGTGGAGACTGACCTGGAACTCACTATGTAGCCCAGGCTGGTCTCGAACTCACAGCGATCCTCCTGCCTCAGCCTCCCGAGTGCTGGGATGACAGGCGTGCGCCACCAGGCCCGGCTTGAACACCATGGTTTCTTTTCCCATTCATCTGTTGATAAATATTTTTAAAAACTGCGTCTGTTCTGAACATACACAGACTTTTTCTTGTCGTTCCCTAAACGGTATAACACAGAACATCTATTCACATGGAATTCACATTGTACTGGGCACTATAAGTCATCTAGTGATTATGTTTTTGAGGTACTAGAATTAAACCCAGGGCCTTCACGTGGAGCTGGACCTCCAGCCCTTTCAACTTTTTTTTTTCTTTTAAGACAAGCTGCCCAGGCTGGCCTCGAACTTGTGCTCCTCCCGCCTCAGCCTCCCCGAGGGCCTGGATTATAGGTGTACACCCATGTCTAAGTGATGGCAGAATTTCCAAGCCAATACTACACCGAGTTCCGGAAGGGACTTGAGTCCTTTTTAATTTTTATTTTCTTCTGCAAAGTTCGGTGGATGGGGGACCGACCCCAGGTGGGTGTTGGGAGACCAGGTCCCTGGGCGCAGGCGCCTGTCCCTCAGAGCGAACGGTGAGGCATCGTACTTCATACTGCTTCGCTGTGATTTTAAAAGGCAGAGCAAAACGACCTTCCCCGTTCAGCAGCGATGAAGACGTTGTCACCGCGCGGAAGAGCCTGGTCTTGGCCCCCGAGAGCCGCTCCCCGCACTTGGGCGGCAGGAGGAGCCCCCGGCGGATGGAGGAGGAGGGTCACGGCCAGAAACATCGTTTGAAAATGACCCGGGGATCCCTGTGTCCGCGGGCTGTGACTTTTTCCTCTACTGTTCCCTTCCAGACGCGGTGGACGTCTGACGACACCCACGTCCTCCCGTCACTTTGAGGAAAAACTCGAGGAAGTGAAAGAAGGTTCCCGGTCATCGTGCTGCGAGAGCTCCTCTTAGTTTTTAGCAAAATCTGTAGACCTGAATTGTGTTCTTCCCCCCGCCTTGTCTAGTTTCTCTTCTGGCACTGCAGACTCGACTCAGGGCCTTCACACACAGCTGCACTCCCACTCGCTTTTAGTTTTATTGTCTTTGAGACGGGGTCTTCCCAGGTTTCCCAGGCTGGCTCAAACTTGGAACCCTCCTGCCTCAGCCTCCCATGGAGCCGGGATTCCAGGTGTGTGCCACCCGGCCTGGCTCTAGAGTGTGTGCTTTGCGTTTGGAAACCCCCTTTGGGGTCGGGTGGGGCTGGGATTTGGACTTCTGCAGTGTAGTTACTTATTGGTGAATTCACCTGTGGCCTTCTGGTTTTTCCTGGGGGATCTCGCGGCTTTGACGTCTTGGGGAGGTTTTGGGGTAGAGCCTTTTGGTGGCATTTTTTAGTCTTTGAGACTCGGTACGCAGTGATCCCAAGGAAATGCAGGTTTTGCTTTTAGAGAAAAGCAAAACCTAGGGTAGGGGATCTTAGATCTCACGAGGGCGCTAGCTCTTTGATCCTCCTGGGGCAGAATTTGGCAGAGAGGGATGAAATGGCCTTGCTTACCGGTGCGGCTCCCTTCGAATACAGTTCATGTTTCTGTGTCTCGGGCAACGGAACCCCAGAGGGAATCGTTGGTTTGCCGTCTGGGATGTGTGCAGAGGACCCTTCGAAACTCTGGACGCAGACACTGTACGAGCACCGTGATGGGGTGGAAAGTTGAGCTCGGGGCTCAGGGAGTTCAAAGCAGAAGGGCCGCGAAAGAGATGCGTGGCTCACACGAGAAGCAAACCGAAATTGTGCAGCGAGAGAGGCTCACAATTACAGAACGTGGACTCATCCGTAACTGTTCTTCTGTACTGGGCTTTCCTATTGAGATACATCCTTAGCCTTCTGCTTTTTATCGCAACACCAGATCTTGCTAAGTTGAGTTGCTCGGGCTGGGATGGAATTTGCAACCCTCCTGCCTCAGCCTCCCAGAGAGCGGGGGTGTCGGGTGTGCACGACCGTGTCCGGGTTTCTGTATGATTTAAGCAACCTGAACACATGAAACATTTCTTATTTCCATTGGTGGGGCTGGTGATGCTTCTGTATCGTTGTAAAAGTGGCGGAATCTCGTGCTGTATTATAATTTTTCTAAGCTTGACTTTCGCTCTAAGTTTCATTTAGTCCTTGTTCGAGAATGTGCATGTGTGTTTGCGGTCACACGCATACTCATGTGTGCACTTATCTGTACAAGCATGCCCACAGGGGATGTGGCAGTTTTCAACAGAAATCCAACCATTTTCTGTAAATATCGTTAAGTATGTTTAATCACTTAAAATAAAAGGAAGGGCTGGAGATGTAGCTCAGTGGCCGACTAAACACAGCATTTCCAGGCCATAGACCAAAATAAACTGAAAGAAAGAAAGAAACAAACAAACCAAACCAAACCAAAACAAAACAAAAACAAGAAAGAAAAATGTGCCTGTTACATTGCAATGCATTTTTAATATTTCACATGTAAAATTTTATGAGTCATCCACCCAAAATGCTTTTTTGCTTGGCAGAATATATAATAAACCTCTTTCTAAGCTGAAGCTGGGCTAAGAGCACATAAAATAAATGTAGTTACAGATTTATTTTTTTTCTTTTTATTGAGTTTATTGGTACATTTTAGGTATACAGTACAGTTACATTCATTGTTGGGGTCTTGTACCTTTACATAACAGGTCTTGGTTCTCATTTTTCCCCTTGTCCCTGCCCTCCCTTCACCCCTCCTCCCCTCCCCATTAACAAACTATTTCCATTTTCTCATATTTTTTCTTTTTCCTTATTTCCTTGACCCTACCCTTCCCACTTTCCCTACACCTTTAGCCACTTTCTTCCTTTTTTCACATTGTCAATTATATCATTAGGATCTTAAGTACTCTTATACTTTATTCACACCAGAGAAACTATTCGGTGTTTACACACATGTGACTTGTTTCACTTAAGAGTATATCCTCAATATGTATCCATTTTCCTATGAATGAATCTAATTTCTCTTCTTTATGGCTGAGTAGTATTCCATTTTATAGAAAAATCACATCTTCTTTATCCAGTCTCCAACGGATGGGCAGTTGGGCTGTTTCCAAGTTTTAGCTGTTACAAACTGTGCCGCTATAAACATAGGTGCACACCTATCACTGTGATGTGATTCTTTTAATTCTTTTGGAAAGATACCCAGCAGAGGGATGGCTGGGTCAAATGGAACCTCTAGTCCCAGCTCTTTGAGGTATCTCCCTATTGATTTCCATAGTGGTTGCACCAGTCTGCATAGTTACAGATTTATAACGTAAAAGTTGCTTGAAGGGCAAGGGGAAAGTATGGCTACCAATCAGCCTGTTGAAAAATAAAAATATTTGGACAATGGTGGTGTGTATTAGCTTTCCATCTCTGACAAATTATCTGAGATACACCAATTCACAAGGAGGAGAACTCTATTTTGGCTCATGGTCTCAGAGGGTTCGGCTGCCCCAGGGGTCTCGGGGTTGGGTCCGTGGTCGGCTGCGCCAGGGGTCTCGGGGTTCGGTCCGTGGTCGGCCGCTCCAAGGCAGGACCATCAGGGCAGACGGGTGTGGGGGAGGCGATGCTCACATCATGGCAGTGGGAAGGAGGGAGGCAGAGAGGAAGCGGGCATCTCGTGTGCAGCACAGGGCTCTCCTTTTCCCGGTGGCCGGTGAGCACCTCCTGTGGCTCCACGCCGGGATGCAGAGTGGCCAAGACACTGATACGAGCAGACGAAGCGGGAGGCCGCGACCTGTGGACGGTGCTTTTTTTCTTGCTTTCTCCCAGAAACAGAAGCGTAACTTGCTTTTTTAACCCAAGTAGAAACCGCTGCAGACGCGGAAGATTTCCCAGTTGTGGCAGAGGGGAAAGTTTGCTTTCCTTCTGGAGATTTCAAAGGCTCATTTTCCTTAGCCCACGGCCCGATTTCTTCAGCACCCTCCCTGCCACACCCCTCAGAAAAACCTCAGTCCCGGGCTTCCGATGCATTGATTTTTTTATCATTCGCACCCTTCCCCTCCAAGAGCGCCGGCAGACGTCCCAGGGAGATGTCTTCTGCCTGGGCTTCAGGTCTCGCCCAACTTTCTCCGGTCCAGAATTTCAACAGGATGGGAACCTTTCCCCAAACGTGCAAGGTTGTTGCTCATTTGCAAAGCGCGGCTTCAGAATGTGTCTCCGTGCGTCACGGGCCGTGCGGCGCTTGTCCTGAAGACGCTGGCATGTTCAGGACCCGAGAGCTTATTTTGTCACGGCCCTTGGAATTTTTGTTGTTGTTGTTGTTCCATCCACTTTAGCTCACTGAGATGCCAGAAAGGTCAGCCGATCGTGTTCCTGAGAGCTTGTTTCTAACCTGTGAACGGCAGGGCGGGCAGCGTTTTTAAGAAAATGACTCAACATTTGCCTTTTTGCGCATGAACCTGGGACGGGGCTCTGGTTGTCCACAGCCGCCCCTGCTTAGTTAAAAATAGCAGAAGGCTGTGTTTCTCGTCTCCCGGCCTAAAATAGAGCTGAGAGCACTCGAGGGCCGACAGCTGGGCAGCCCTGGAATTCGACACAGGCCGCGGGCTGAAGGTAGAGTTTGTTTTCTTTTTCTATTCCTGAAGAAGGAACCCAGGAACTTCTCGCTGAGCCGCAGGTGGCCCCCTTTGAACTTTCTATCTCGGATTTCCTATTTTGAGGCAGGGCTCTGACCACTGGCCCGGGCTGGCCTGGAATCGGTAACCTGCCTTGTCTGAGCCTCCCACAGTGCTGCGGTCGCAAGTGTGAGAAATGGGTTTTAGTTTTCATAAAGTTTGCTTATGAAGGTGATGCGACCAAGGACATGAGGGTCACACCAGAAGTCGTGGACGTTACCCGAGTCTGACTGATTCGACTCCTAATTGTCCGGACCTTTCTAGGACTGCGCGAGCCTGCAGTCTTTAGGAGTCCTTCGGGGCAGCTCCGTTTTACGGCAGACAGCGAAGCCAGTTAGAAACTTTTATAAGGCAGGGGCCCTCTGCGTGGGAAACAGTGGAGGCACATTCACTGGGCAGCATTATAAAGAGGAGGGAAAGCACTACACTACACCCTACTTGCCTTAGGGATAAAAAGCAGTGGTCAGTGGTTGGTATTTTAAATAGGCATCCGTCTCTCTACCCATTTCCTTTCCAGAAATTCCTTGTTCCTTACGTTTGCTACAAGACTCTTTTTTTTCCACCCCCCCCCCTTTACTCAACCTCACCGGGGTGACTGCATTGCAGACTTTAGCAGTCGGGCGTGGTTTTGCCCCACCTCATGCCCACCTCCTGATTTTCCATCGGGTCTTACAGTTTTGTCCCACTTTGTACCTGCCTCACCTCACGGCTGTGCCCCCTAAGACACCTTTGAGGGCCTGGTGTGGTGGTGCACGCCTGTCATCCCAGCGATCATGAGGCTGAGGCAGGAGGATCGCTGCGAGTTCGAGACCAGCCTGGGCTACATAGTGAGTTCCAGGGCGGTCTCAACTACAGAGTGAGGCCCTGTCTCAAAAACAAAACAAAAATACCAACCAAACCACAGCAACGAAACCACCTTTGAGAAGCGGGGTGGGCGGGCAGCCCCCTTTCCGGGCCCATTTCTGTCTGTCTTAGACAGAAACTAGCTTTCTGTCGATACATTTTTCCTACTCTTGACTTCTGTTGCCCCTGGAATTCACTTTTTTGATTTTAGAGAGCACAGTCATGTCATTTCCCTTGACTGGATTATTTTGCTTATTGGGATTACTTGCTGCCCTGGATCAACTTTGTTTCTGCAGATAAAGGTCTCTGTTTGGAAAATAAGCAACAGCTGAAGGATCAGCAGAGCGAGGGATAGCAGCGGAGGTACCGAACCCAAGACAGAGGGGCTGCGTGTCCGTCCCTTTGAGAAGTTCCGTTCAGGACTAGATGGGACCTGAGCCGTGCCGTGGTTAATTTCTACGCTGACCTTCTGGGGACATTCACTTTGGTTCTCGCCCAGTACGGTTTCCAACCAGGACCGTGGAGAGAATTAAAGCGCGCGACCCAAGGCACCATCATCCGTAAGCGCGAGTGTACAGCCAACAAGATGACGCCCTCACTCGAAAATTCCCACACCCGTGAGTTAAGGGAACAGCAGCAATTTTTACTTATACCTTGTACTTCACCAAGAAAATACGAAGGCAGTACGTGTTTAAGATACACATGCTACGTGCGTGCACATATTAACGGAGGGGCGTCAGGTGCCTGTGAAGACAGAGTCAGGCTTTTGGAAGCGAGTGCAGAAGGGTCATGCACTGCAGAACCCTACTGTGACCACTCCAGGGTCCGACGTCGGGAGATCAAGTGGGGAACCCAGGATTCCAGGTGGACGTAGCGAAGACCGCCGCAGAACCCTGGGATTAGCTCCGGCACCGTTCATCTGCGGATGGCCGTGAAACTGGCTTTGTGGGTCAGCTCTCCGTGGCTACGACGAGACACCCGAGATCATCCGGTCATAAAGAAGAAAGGCTCGCCATGCCCAAGGAGTCACGAAGCTGCCCGGGCTGGGCTCTGACTTGGGATCCTCCTGCCTCAGCCTCCCAGAGCACTGGGGATCTGGGTGTGCACCGCTGCTCCCTGCTCATCAGAGGGGCAGTGGGTGTTGCTGGTGTGCACAGAGCTAGAGGCCAGGACAGCGACAAGAAGGAGAGGGGACAGCGAGGTGAACGGGAGCCCTCTCACGGCGAAGGCTCACCCACAAAACAGGGCTAGAAGACAGCGGAATTAGGAGGTTCGGTCTTAACAGGCTGACTTGGTGGCAAATTCATCTACTTTGACAAGTAACTTCATCCCCCACGCATCCGAAGGTACACGACAGCAATCCCAGGGTTCCAGCAGCCCTGACCCTGGACCTCAGTGGAGTGGTGTCCCACGCCTGTCCTGCTTTTACCGCAGGACCGCGTAGAGCGAGGGTGCACGGAGGGTCCCCGGGAGGAGAGACTCGGGACACCCGCTTTCCAAAGTGAAAGTCGCCCTGAGGCGGACAGGTGCGGCCAAGTCCACCGCGTGCCCAGGCCGACGGGGGGCCTAGAAGGGAATCTGACATCATCATTTTGCCGCTGCCGTTAGTCATCTTCTCACTGCGGGGACAAAGGACACAACGCCCACAAATTAAAGGAGAAGAGGTATAATTGGGGTCCCGGTCTCAGGGGGTGCAGTCCGTGGTCGGCTGCTCCAAGGCGGGAGAGGCATGGCGGACGGACGCGGACGAGGAAAGACGCTCACAGCACGGTGACCAGGAAGCAGAGAGAGCAGGGACGGGCTGGGGACAAGAACGCCCCCTCCTTCCAGCTCACACCCCGGGGACCCCCTCCGGCCGGGCCCCGCCTCCTGCCGCACGTTCAGCCCCGAACTCATCCCTGATGGATCCGTGATGCGCACAGCGCCCCCGACCCGGTCCCCTTCCACCCACAGGAGACCTTGGGGAGACGTCTGGATCTGCAGTACGAGAGCCCTGAACCGAAGGAAACAGCGACATGGGCGTCCACCCTCCACACCCTCCAGCAAACACCCTCACCCACGCGCCTACTTCTCAGCCCTTTTCGGTGTTTCGTGTGACTGCTAAGCGGGACCCCGTCTCAGAAAACTTGGGGTGAGTGTTTCACCAGAACACTGATTACCCGACAGAGCATATCTCTGCACATCCTCCTCAAAGTACTGAAAATATTCCCACCTGGTCGGAGCAGAGGGTCCCATTGTCCCGGGCAATTTGTGTTTTACTGTATTTTTTTCCCCAAAATTAAATATTCACCTTCATCACCCCTTGTTCTTATTAAATAAAGAAACAGGGAAAAAAGGAATAAGGGAACTCACCCTGGGACATGACGTCAAAGACGGTGCAAGAGAAATATTTTCTCTTGGTGTCTTAGGTCAGCATTTTCCCGACGAGTTGGGTTGTGATTTGAACGTGTGTGTGTATGAATGTGTTTTAACGTTGTGCAAAGAGATGTCACCACTTGGACCCGTCCGAAATTCACTGGACTGTCAGGCTTTGAACAACCCACGTGTGGGAACTGCCAAATCGTTAGTGCGAAAAGCCCAGGCGGAAATTTAGAACCAACCAGCCCCTCCTGACAGGGTGGAGTCTAAAAGTTCAATAACATTTCCTTCAGATCCTATAGGATCTTATCTTTAGGGTTTTTTTTTTTTTTTGTCTTTTTTTGGTGCCAGGGATGGAAGTTGGGTCCTCACGCTTGCAAGGCAGGTGGCGGAACCACTGAGCTGCATCCCTGGACCGCTACAGGGTCTTATCTTTAAGAAACTATCGGTGACCAATTGTGGATGTCAAACTATTAGGAAATACTGCTACTGTTTCCCTTGAAAATGTTTTTGCATGTGGGAAAAATATTCATGTTTCACAGTATGATTTCACAATACAATTATAGCCTCTTTGTTTTGTAATTGGTAGGACTAGACTATGTTATTTATATATCATAGAATGGGTTTTTATCATTATCTTTAACTGTTTTAAATAAATACTGAGACACCCTTTTCATTTTTTTTTTCTGCAGGAGATATTAACAAAACAAATGTGTTTTGGCTACAATCACTTTTTCAGATGGGAAAATATTTGGTGGCCAAAATATTTCACAATCTGTGCTACATACCATTGAGGTTCTGGTATCCCGACGTAACAGAAAACCCAACTCGGGGTGCTTAGACTAACAAAAATAGCACCCCATAACACTATGTACCGAGATTTGGGGCCTCTGGTGTGGAACAATTTGAGTTCAGGTACTGCGGCCCTCTCTGATTTCTTTGTATTTGAGCCCCACACTTTACTCATGACACAGGATGGCGACCTTAGCGCCAGCCATCGCAGCCCTGACCATTAATATCCTGAGCCCAGAGGAAGTTTTAACTTTGAAATGCTCGCACACTACTCGCCCATCACTGACACGCGAGGGATACCCGATCCTTATGTAAAACGGATCCAATGAGACCCCGTAGCGAGCGCTACAATTCTTTGCTTCGTTTTCTGGGTAGGTTTTTGCCATTAGACTTCCGGTCGTATACACGTTATTGTGTAAAGTCCGCCCGAACCGGAGGCGTGGATGTGTAACTGCGGGCTGCTCCGTCCCTTTCCTTCTGGCTCCCTTCTTTTAGGATCTTGCCCAGGACCTTTGCCACCATCCCGCCTGACGCAAATGAACCCTTTTTTGGCTTCAGAGTTGGAAAACACCCCCCGGGGGCAGTTAATGTGGCAGAGGCCCTCCCGGCCTGCCTGCCTGCGGTCCCACAGCCTCTGCTATTCTCTCCTGGGGCCCCAGTGCGTCCGACACAAGAACTTGCTGTTTGCCCCTGGTGCCCCCTGGCCCGGTCCCCTTTTCCCTTTGGTGCCCAGGATGGAACCCGGCCCCTTTCATTTTTTTTTTTTTTTTTTTTTTAATTTGGAAACAGGGTCTTGCTAAATTGCTAGGCTCCCCAGACAGGGCTGGCGCTGCAGATCCTCCTGCCCCAGCCTCCCAGCGTCCGGACGGCGGCCCTGCGCCACCACACCCGGCTGACATTTTCTTTAACGATCGCAGCAGCCTCCTGCTCCCCCCGGGTCTGAGCTCCTTCGGGTCAAACCAACTCCCACCCAGGCTTCGCAGCCCCTCTGCGCCCTGCCCACCCCGAGACCCTCCTGGCCCCCGCGGAGGTGCCGGCTCCCCG